CCCACAGAACCTACCTGGTCAGAACTGGCTTAGGCAGGGGCGGAGGTGGAAGAAGACACTGGTGGCAACCATCCCCCCATCTGCTCTCAGGACCCCACCTCTGGCTGGGCATTCGGCCACTCTCCCTTTTGATTCCCAGTTTAGATAAATCCTTTGAGATTTGGGGGCTTAGATCACAGTTTCTTTCCCTGCTGAGTGATGCTTCTCGTGTAGAACCTTGCAAAAACCACTCAAGATAAACTGGAAGCCACATAAAAAGGTTCCCAAGGAGTCAGGATAGGGGGAGTAGTGGAAATCCTTCATGCTTCATGATAACTTACCCAGTAACCCTGAGCCCCACCAGCCAGCCCATCCTGAGTTAAACCTATTAGGGCCACCAAATGCCCACACGAGGTCCTGTCATCCACCACTATGCAGGAGAGGGAGGTCATAGAGTTTGGGACCCAGGGCCCAGCCCCCTCCCTCTTGCCTATAACTTAGCTGCCATCATATTCTACCTTTTCCATCTCAACAGTCATGCTCTAGCCATGGCAGAAGTTGTTGGTGGTGTCCAAGGAACTTACTCTAGCTGAGAAGGCTGAAGAACAACCAGACATGTCATATATTTGAAACCTGAGGTACCACTAAAATCCAAGATGCTGGTATCTCTTCACATGGAAAGATGCTTGTGATATACTGAGAAGAGCAAAATTACAAAGTAGCATATCTTGTAATCTCATTTTTATTAAAAAATGCCTATCTATATATTTCTGCACAGAAAAAAGTCTAGAAGAATTTACTTCAATTTTTGGAATGTCAATTTAGCAATTACAGGTGATTTTTCTTTTATTCTTTTATTTATTTCCAATATTCTAATCATTCTACAGTGAAGATGGACTCCTTGTGTACTAAGTTAATCTTGAGAAAAACAGAGCAAACACTATTTCTGATCATCTTCAGCATCCACTTCCCTGAGTGAAGTTCAAATTGAATGGAGCTCTGCTGCTCTGGTCAGCAGTGGTGAGAAGCAGCTCACAGACCTCAGCAAAGCCATGAAGAAAGAAAATATGATGAGTTAGCATGGCTAGAATCTCCTGGAGAGGGTATTTATAGAATGAGCAATCCTGGACCTGAGTTGTCACAGCCCCCTGAGATTTCAAGGTGTGGGTTTTAGCCTCCAAAGAGTCCCATGCTGGTTGGAATCCATGTCCTTCTGGAAACTTGAGACTGTGGCATTATTTGTAGAGAGGTTCTTTGCAGATGCAATTAGTTAAGAGGCCATGCTGTACTTGGGTGGGTTTTAAATCCAACAGGACTACATATGCAAGAAGAGGAGAGGACAAACAGGGAGACACGCAGGAGACCCAGACCTGGAGGCAGAGATTGCATTTATGTGCAACAAGGCGAGAAATGCCATTACTGAGGCAACTTCTTGCTAGGAAGGGGCAAGGAAGAATTCTTCCCCAAAGGCTTCAGAGGGAGGACGGCCTTCTAGTCTCCTGAACTATGAGAGAACAAGTTTGCATCATTTTAAACCACCAACTTAGTGGCAATTAGTTATGGCAGTCCTAGGACATCAACACAGCTGCTGCTGACCCCATCTCTCATCATGTGTGTGTTCTCTCCCACACTGCACCTGAGTTGTCTCTGTGACCAACAGAACGTAGCAGAAGCAGAAGTAATATTATATCACTTTGAGAGTAGACTATGAAAGAGTCTGCGTCTTCTATCTTGCTTTGTCTCTCTGCTTCTTTGTTTACTTGCTCTGGGGGAAGCCAGCTGCCATCTCATAAGCAGTCCTATAGAGAGACCCATGTGTTGAAAAAGGAAGCCTCCTGCCAGCTGCCACATGAGCATGTTTGGAAGCAGTTCCCCAGCCCCAGTCGGGCCTTCAGATGATGCACCTCTGACTGACAGCTCAATTCCCACCTCAGGAGATACTCTGAAACAGAAACACCTAGCTAAACGGGTCTAGAGTCCCAACCCTCAGAAACTGAGAAAATAAATGTTTGTTGCCTTCAGTTGCTAAGGGTTTTTTTTTTAAAGAAGATTTATGTATTTATCTTTTTAGAGAGAGAGAGGGAGAGAGAGAGAGAGAGTGCATGTGGTGGGGATGGGGAGAGAGAGAGGGAGAATCTCAAGCAGACTCCCTGATGAGTGTGGAGCCCCATGAAGGGCTTGATTTCATGACCCTGAGAGATCATGACCTGAGCTGAAACCAAGAGTCAGACACTTAACCGACGGAGCCATCCAGGTGCCCCAACTAAGTTTTGGGATCACATCAATAGATAACTAATACATAGGGAAAGAGGAATAAATGCACTTATTATGATTGCAATTTTCTCTGATATTTTCATTTTCCTTCTCCAGATCAACATCAACCCTTTTATTCCATCATTCTGTTTAACAGCTGATTATAATAAAGTTTTTGACTATTCTCTGCAAGGTTTAACTCCTCTTGACTACCTTTTCACCTCTGGTCCAATGTATCTGGGACTGTGACTCCAACATCCCTGCCTAAACTTTAGGTGATCAGAACAAAAGCCAGAGGAGAGGCCTAAATCTGAGCCCCAGGTATCCTTCCTGCAACTCACCAGTCAGACCAGCCTGGCAGGTTCAGATTCTGCTGAGGCACAGCAAGGATGTGGCCAGACCAGAAGGGTCTGTCTCTGTGGAGCTGCAGAGGTCCAGATGCAGCCAAAGCCCTTGGGTAGCAGACAGCACAGGTCCTGTCACAGGCTTTCCAGGAGTGCTGAGAACACGGGCTCCAGGCACCAGGCTTGTTTCTACAGACCCAGTTCACATTCTCTTTGTCCATGGGCCTAGCCATAGTCTCATATCATCACCTCCTCCAAGAAGCCTTTGCTGAATTGAGATCTCTGGTCATTTGCTCTGACTGTGCTACATTGCTATGCCAACTTCCCCTCATTGTAATAATTGATTTGGGGTCTAAGACCCCTGAAAAGACCTTAGTGTCAAGGCTGTATTGATTTTTTCCAAGCACTTCAAATAACGTTTGACAAATACATGGAAACTGGCGAGTACAGAATGTGGAAACTATTCCTCCACCCTGGACTATTCTTTCTCTCTTCTCTACCCATCTAAATGGGCCCACCCTTCAAGGAGAAGCTGAAATATCACCCCCGTCTGGAAGCTTTCTCCTGCCTAAAGTGATTGATTCATCATTTGTAGGATGATAGAATTACAAATGCTGTTAGCAGGGATGAGCTGACATGAGTCAGTAGAAAAAGAAGGAGTGTAATATGCTACCTTTAGGAATGTATGAGCTTGGGAACCACATGAAAAAGATATGGTGGTTTTAGATTTCTTCAATTTCAATATAAGCCCCCAGCTTGACCTGTATTTACAGAGGTGTAGTGTCCACATCACACTGCATTTGTGCCAAGAATAGGCATTGAGGACTCAGAGTGTGTCCTGAATAGTAGAGAATGTCCCAAGACCAAGTCATTAGGACAGATGCTAGGAAGCTGAAGGTCTTTACCCTGGAGAAGCAATACACAGAAATCCCCATTCAAACACTCAAAGCTCTTCCTAGTAGAAAAATATACTTGTTCTGTGTAATTCCAGGAGGCACAAGCAGGACTGAAGAGTAGAAGTTATGTGTGACCCCAAAATTTTAACCTCAAGGACCATACGCACTGTTAGGGTTTCTTCAAGAGACTGTGGAGGTATTGAAGGAGAGCCTGATTAACTATGTCTCAGGGGTGCCATAGCATAGATTTCTCCCTTTGGAGGGAGCCTATATGCCATGTCTAAGGCCCTTTTAATTCTAGGAATTTTTTTACCCAAGGAGATTCTCTGCCTTTATTGTTTCCAACGTGCCATTGTCCTGCAGATTAGGGAGTCTGGTCTTCTTAATTATCTTAAGTATTTATGACTTAGCTCCCCAGCTGGACTGTAAAACTGCCTAACAGCAGGGACCATGCAATGCACATCTTTGTCACCCAGCAGTGAAAATGCTCAGTAAATGCTCATTGACTGTCAGGCAAAATACCCCATGCGTTGGTCCTTTCCATAGAGAGATAAGAGATTGGGAGGGCATAAAGAATGATTGTTGGCCTTAGGAAACAGAAATTGGGTCCCCTTCCCTGCCTATCTTTTCTTACCTTTCACTCTTGCAGCCTCTGTAATGTGGATCAACCTCTCCTACTTTCTTACCAGGCCCTTTGTGGAACTAAGAGTAAGAAGTACAGTAAGGCAGATAGTCTCCAGAGAGCACAGTGTCAAGCTTCTCCACCCCTTATGAGTAGACGGATGGACAGATGGACTGATGGTTGGACAGACAGGTGAGTGGATGGATGCACTGAGGTAAGAGATGTTGATTAGAGGCTTGAGTATTCTCTTTACTCCTGCCCTGCTCACACTGTATCATGTGTCCTACTCCTCCAGGGCACACGATGGCTGCTCAGTCCCAGGATGGATCTAAGGTCAATGTCTTCTGTAGGTGGGTTTCCTTAAATGTTCTATCTCATCAACCTGGTAATAGCTAATAGGACTTGTTGAAAAGCAGAGAATTCTCTGCCCTCTTTCCAAACAAGGCCATGTTCCCAGTGCCATCAGTCCCCTCTCTTTTGTTGTCTCGCTGGCCATAGCCTGGCTTAAAACACCAGAAGTTGCTCTGTCCTTGGGCCCCTTACACACATCCCCCTCTTGCCACTTCTACCTCTCTAAGCCTAGGATGGAGCCTCATGGGGCACCAACGGGAAGGTGATATGAAGCCATCTGACCCCAAGCCTGTTTATCTGGCTATTGAAGCCACCAATAACAGTGCCAATGACAGTAGCTATGAGCAGGGGCCCAGTGACTGGCTTTTGCCAGGGCTTTATGGGTGACTCTCTCCCCCTTCAACAAACACTCATTAATGCTCCCACCTCCTTATTATCCATACTGTGCTAAAGACATTGTGAAATCCCTAGGCTCTTCTTTCCCATCCTGAAGCTAATTATAACGATTGCTGCAGGCCTGACCCACCCCGACCAGACAGTATAAACTCAGGGCAGATGCTCTGGAGAAATCACTCGGACGTCCCAGGGACCCAGGATTTCAGGTCAGTGGTTGATAGGTAGTATTCAATCTCTCCTTCTCGTTTTCCTTCTCCTTTATATCAATATCTCTGGTACGCCCCCTCTCTTAACTCCTCCTGGCAAGCTTTCTAGATAACAAGGTATCCCCTCCACAGAACACTGTGGGATGCTAAATAAGTCTGGGAGCACATAGAAAGAATGCGAGAGAAGGCATAGATTAAGCCAAGTCAAGATTTTTGAACATTTAGAGCCATAGATTTTAGAAAGTAATTTCAGAAGAAATCAGCCAGGTCAGTGGTATTCAATAGCGTGTGACGAGGCTTGGGGTTCATTATGTATACCCTGGTGCCAGCTTTAGGGTCAACGGCAGTGTTAGCATGGGTCTGGTGTCACCCTCATTCTTTGATTCAGCAAAAACAAGTCCCTTTTACCCATTTTCCTTTCATTAGGTTTCTATGTAAATTTTCATTGTGAAACTTAGTTTTGAAAAATACTGGTCTTACCCAGCCTCTCATCCTAGTGATGACTATTTGGAGGCCCAGGGACTAAAGAGGACTTTCCAAGGCAGCAGGGCCAGTTGGTAGCAGAGCTAGGTCTAGAACCCAATCTTGCCGTTGAATTCTTCTGTGTGCGTTTCTATGACCCGCTTGTAGGCATATATTTGTGTCGGGCTGGTTGGACCTCCACGCCACACTTCATGGATCAAGATATTGTTAACTTTTATAAGGGAAACAAATGCTTATATATAGAACAATACACCATACAGAGAAATTTAATAAGAGTTCAGAGTAGGAGTTGCAAGGATAAAGGAAAGATACATTAAACTCTGAGTTATGGAATCATAGATAGTTTGATCTGGAAAGAATCTTAGTAACCACAGATTTTGATTCCATGATCTCATAGATGCTGATTTTGAGAATTGAAGGTGAGGTGACATGACCTTGTATGTCTGAGCTGTTACTCTGACCTGATAATTAATTTGGCAGAGCTAGAGACTCAACCTGTTGATAAATGATACCATATCCAGTGGCTCTAATGCCAAAAGACCTGAATGGTTGGCAAGGAAGGGGGATGGCTTTTGAGGGAGGGAAATCAAAGACAACTCTAAGCATGCCCACTGGGAAGATAAGAAAGAAGGCATGTGCCTGGAGGGGTGGTTTGGTGTCCACGAGATATACTCATACAAGTGTGTCAGGACCGGATGATGATGAAATGAGCAGTCACTGTAGACTATGGAGCTGGGTGGGGATGTTGTGAAAGCAATACCTAGAACACAGGTCCAGTACCTCCCAGAGGTCGGGCTGGATTGAAGGTAGAAAAGCCAGGAATACAGGCACAGGTACAATGGCTATTAAGAAGACAAAGTTACATTTCAGGGGCACGTGGGTGGTGCAGTTGGTTAAACATGCAATTCTTGATTTCAGCTCAGGTCACGATTTCATGGTGGTGAGATTGAACCCTGCCTCAGGCTCCGTGCTCAGCATTGAGTCTGCTTGTGATTCTCTGTTTTTCTTCCTCTACCCCTCTCACTCATGCTTGTGCTCTCTCTCTCTCTCTCTCAAAAATAAATAAATCTTAAAAAAAAAGACAAAATTATATTTTAAAGACTAATTTGTCGAATTTGCTGGTTAATCAGACATAGAGTAAGGAGAAGGGGGGAATGAATAGGCTGGGAGGAGGAGAAGATTGATTTGACTTCTGATCTATTTGGTTGGGTGGGATGGCAGGAAGTCCAAAGGGAGGTGTCATATGGACTGTTGGAGATAAAGAAGCATGTTCAGTCGGGGCTTGGGAGGCTTTGGACTAAGGTGATCACTGCAGCTGTGGCAATGGATGAATGGCAACTCCATGGGGGTATGACTGAGAAGTGCTTAGAACTTACACTTGTGACTTCCAGCCTTAAGGACACTGCCAAATGGAAGGGAGAATCTACAGGGACCTGAGAAGGGGAAAATGGAAGTGTGAAGGGAGTCAGTCAATGTCAAGATCTCTGAGGAGGCAGAAGCCAAATACCAGAAGAATCAAAAGAGTCTTTAGATTTAGTTCCAGAGAATTTAATATTGGCCTTGGAAAGGGCACTGTCCACATAGAAAATGTGTAGAAGAACAAGGTGGGGGTGTGATGGAGAAAGCCCAGTGCTACTTGGGTGGTGGTCTTTGACTCAGGACAGGTGGACTGATGAAGTCTGAGACAGCCAGAGATGGTGTCCAGGGAGGACAATAGGCCAGAGTCCAGGGAAAGTTCACTTGGGGGCACTAGGGAAGGGAAAGCTTAGGGGAAGGAGGGTGTGGTGCATTGGGAGGGACCATGACAGATTCTCAGCCCCAGGACCTCAGGCTCTCTGATGGACTAGAAGCTGGCTTTTCACTCCAATTCACTTCATCGTAGTCTAGCCAGAATCCAGGAAGGGGGTGCCTGATATGACGGTCTTTGGGAGAAATACTGGGATTTGGGGTTGGGCCAGAACAGGAGGCTTCTGGGGCCTCTGGAGATCTAGCTGGACTGGACCTGCCCTAAATTTCTGCCCATGCCTTATGTTCACACTGACCAGGAGTAAGAATCATCATCCCCACTAAGAGCCCTCCACTGTATCTGTCCATGCCAGAACTTGGCATAGTTGCTAGCCTGCCCATTATTTTTGCAGCTATAACCAAAGGAGCACCAGTAGTTTGGCTAAGAGAGAGCACGACAAAGTGTGCTTGCACTAAGGCGACACAGCTGGTGACCTGGCTGGGCTGGGGATCATCTATCTAGTACTTTGCTGCTCAAAGTGTGGCCAGGGACCAGCGGTGTTCATATCACTTGGTTGCATGTTTGAAATGCAGGCTCAGGTTCCAACCCAGACCTTGGGAACCAGAACTGGCAGGTGATTTATATGTTTCCTGGAGAGTGAGAAAAACTGAGATGGTGTACCAGTTCCCCAACCTATCTGGTCGTGGAGTCACTTCAAGCCCTGGTGAATCAGAACCTTCATGTGACTCTAGGGCCTGGCTGGGCAGTGGGACAGGGTTTGAGCTTAGCTCATCCTCATACTGAGAGGCTGGCACACAGCCCACCTCAGTCTCAGCCCCAGGAAGTACTCCTGTCTAAACTCTTTAGAGAACCTGTTCTCTAGTTTTCCCAAGCTAGCACTATGATGGCCCCAAAGGAGAGTGAAGCAGAGCTGCCTGGAGCTTGCTGGGCTGGGGAGACCATGGAAGATTCTGACAAGTCAGTTATAGATAAGCAGTCTAGAGAGATTTTTCTACCCTGTGATTTGGTGGTTTGGGGGTTCCCCAGGAGGTCTGCCCCCCAGCTCTACCCACCCTTCTCTGATAGCCCTTCTCTCCTTCCCCCTCAGCAGGACAAGTCGCCCACAACCACAGGAATGTGCTCCCTCCCCATGGCAAGATACTACACGTAAGTCTTCCTGGAGTTCTCACTTTCTGAACCAGGGGTCTGGGGATGATGTGGGAAGACAGAAAGAAGGCTGAGGGGAGGGAGGTGGCTCCTTCTCATCGAGAAATCTCAAGTGTCCCATAATTAAGCTTAATCATCACCATCATAACAATAGCTCTCTTCCCTAACCATGGATGCCAGGCTTTCTGCTACCTTGGATGCCAGCCTTTCTGCTACCTTGCCTCCCTCCTGAGTAACCTACAAGGAGGGCATGACTGAGTCCATTCAGATTTGGAAACTGAAGCTCAAAGGGGTTAAATAAATTACCGCATGTCACACAGAGCCAGGACTCACCCTCTGTGCTGCTCTGTCCTTTCCCTAAGAGCTCAGAGACAATTTTGAATCTCAGTGATGGCATCTTTATAGGTTGGCCTCTGTGGCCTTTCCTCCCTACCTGCACTCCCAACTCCCTTTTACCTCATTTGACATTTGAGACTTTCCTTATAGGTTACACTTTATAGCCTGTGATTTTTCACTGTAAACTGCCTCCAGCCCTTTGAGGAACGAGATGAGACATAAGGCGAATGTACTTACTTTCAGTCAGGCCCAGGACTGACTTCTAGGCCGCATTTCCTCAGCTCCTCCATGGGCCTGCCCTGTCCTAGACACCAGGGGGCTGGTCGGGGCCTCTGGAAGTTACAATGTGCCTGAGAGGACAAAACACATGTGCACGGAGTACCCACGTAACAAGACAGACGTCAGCCTTTTGGGGTATCTCACTTGGGTTCTGGTCTCCAAAGAGAATGTTGCCTGCAGATGAATTTCCCCCAAGCCCTGGTTGTCCAGGTTGGAGAGGGAAGGCTGGCTAGCAAGCCCAAGCTCTTTCCAGATCCTTCTTTTTATTATACCAGTGAACCTACCTCACATACATACAATCATTAGCTAAGGGTAGTATAATTAGCTGTTATTGAGAGAGAAAAATCTCCTGGAGGCGATGGCGTTGGCCCCAAGGTTCTGCCCTTGGGAGATTGGGAGGGCTCCCCAGGTCCTGAGAGCAGCTGACAGACATTTTGAAACCAGCCAAGCCACTGAGCTAATAACCTGTGTGACTTTGATGTTGCACACACTCTCCGTGGTTTCCTCCCTGCTCCCAGCACGTATTTACCCTCCCAGGCTGATCGTTGGAACCACTGCCAACCCCAAATGACTGTAATCACGCCCTGCTCCGGCTCTTCACCAACCTCCTAAACTTGGCACCCATTATGCAGGGCCACCCCAGAACACACCTCACATGGAATGGGGTGGGGGCATGTTGGCACACCTGCTGTCACATAGGATATACTTTTTTCCTGATTTGTGGATTTTGTTTTATAGAAAAGCCTTTAAAATATTTGAAAAGCATACCACACTTTATTTTTTTCAAGATTTTATTCATTTATTTATGTTTTACTTATTTATTTATTTATTTATTTATTTATTTTAGAGCAAGTAAGCGCAAAAGGAAGGGGCAAAAGGAGAGGGAGAGAGGAGCTCAGGCAGACTCTGTGCTAAGCACAGAGCCTGACACGGGGCTCGATCTCATGACTCTGAGATCAAGACCGGAGCGGAAATCATGAGGTGGATGCTTAGCCGACGGAGGCGCCCAGGTGCCCCACAAACCACACTTTATTATACATTCAAGTAATCCTCTTTGCTGAAGAAAATGAAACATTTTTGTGAAACTGGGTCAGGCCCAGAAAAACTGGGATAAGGCTCACTATATCCTAGAGACATCTGAGCCTCACTAGGAAATTTCTCAGGAAGGGCACGAAAAGGGAGTAACATAATCAGGAAAACTCTGTCTGCCCATCAGTGAGAAGGTACTAGCTTTCCTCACTGCCCCGGGGGCCCTGACCAAAGCCAACGCTGGTAAATGGAGCCTCTGAGAATCACAAGTTCCAGAAGACCTTCCCTTGCCTTAAGGCTGACCTGGTTTCACTCGCTCTTGGGTGGGGTCACGCACCTACTTCTCACTTGTAGGAGAAGAACACCTGAGTGCTCTGTGTGGTACGCCAGAGCATGGAGGTGGGAAGACTTTGGGGCTTGGCAGTGCCTGAAGGGAGCAGGCCATCAGCGCCACTGTCTTGTTACAGAATTAAGGATGCGGATCAGAAGGCTCTATACTTAAGAGGCGACCAGCTCCTGGTGGGAGATCCCAGTGTGGACAATTGCTGTGCAGGTGAGCTTGTGGGGTGAGCATATGGGGTCCCCCTCCCCTCAGACACACCCATGCTCCACCTGCTGTCAGCTCTCCCCTTCCCTTCTGCCTCTGGTGACAGCAAGAAGAGGCAGGGAGAAGCTGAGGACCTCTCCTTTTGAGAATGTCATGACCACTGCAAGGGTCCCAGTCTGCCCAGCAGCCTCCATGCAGGGGCCAGGCCAGGTATGCCCTGGTGCAGCTCTTGTCTGCCCGGGCTTAGCTCACTGAGAGCTTGCCATCTTGGTCCTTTATCTCCTGGCTCTCTTCTCTCTCTTTCCTCCCAGAGAAGATCTGCATACTTCCCAACAGAGGACTGGACCGCACCAAAGTCCCCATCTTCCTGGGGATCCAGGGAGGCCGTCGCTGCCTAGCCTGTGTGGAGACAGGAGAGGGGCCTACCCTGCAGCTGGAGGTGAGAAACCACGCTGTGTTCTGGGGGACCCTGTGGACATGGCCTGGCTTCCAGGGTGCTCTGGCCTCTCGGCACTCATTTGTGGACTCCCAGACAGATCCACGCCTGCCTCCCCTTCCCTCTGCACCTAGTGCCAAGACCCCTGCCCTCCAGAACCTGCCGGAGGCACTGCCCTGGGTACAGACCCTCCCTGTAAAGTCCCTCATTGACCCCCTAGGGGGCTTCTAGTTCTGATATCTCAACCAATGGCCTCATCCTGCAGCAGCCCCCTTGCCCCCACAGGATGTGAACATCGAGGACCTGTACAAGGGTGGTGAAGAGGCCACACGCTTCACCTTCTTCCAGAGAAGCTTGGGCTCAGCCTTCAGGCTTGAGGCCGCTGCCTGGCCTGGCTGGTTTCTCTGTGGCCCAGCTGAGCCCCAGCAGCCAGTACAACTTGTCAAGGAGAGTGAGCCATTGGCCCGCACTGAGTTCTACTTTGAACAGAGTCGGTAGGGAGGCAGGAGGCTGAGTTCCAGGCTGATCCCCCAAGGCAACCTCCTTCTGCTCAGGATCTGTGTGGTAGGCAGAATAACGCCCCCAAAGATGTCCAAATCCTAACCCTCAGAATCTGTGAATGCTTTACCTCACAAGGCAAAAGGGACTTGGCAAATGTGATTAAGGTAAGGGTCTTGAGATGGGGAGACCATCCTGGATTATCCCAGTGGGCCCAGCGTAACCACAAGGGACCTCTTAAGAGTGAGACAGGAGGATGAGAGCCAGAGACTAGAAAATGCTATGCTGCTAATTTCAAATGTAGTGGATGGGGCTACCAGTCAGTGAATGCTGGTGGTTTCCAGAAGCTGGAAAAGGCAAGGGAAAAGATTCTTCCCTAGAGCTTCTAGGAGAAACAATCGAATTTTAGTCCAGTGAAACCCATTTCAGACATCAGACCTCCAGAACTGTAAAATAATAAATGTGTGTTGCTTTAAGCCACCAAATCTGTGGTAATTTGTTACAACAGCAGTAGGAAATTAGCATGAGGCCTTAGTAGGCTCCTGTGAACAGTGTTTAATGAAAGGTGCATGGGTCACTCGGTGTGTTCTTGGAAGGCTGCCCACAGCTTCTCCTGTAGCCCATCTGCTCCAGAGCTTCTAGAAATAGCCAGAAGCTGCAGGAAGAACCCAGCTCTCCCTCCCACCCCCCATCCATGCATGGACAACATCTCGGGTTGCTCACAATTGTAGTTCTAGTTCAAGTCTTGTGATTTGCCTATCAGATATTTCACAGTGAATATGTCATTCAGCCGACTGATCCATGCCAGTGGTTGTCTGCTAGTGGACGTGTGAGAAACAGTGAGGGAGGGATGGCGAGTTTGTCCTGGGTGTGTTGAGTTTAAGGCTGTGGTGAAACTGATGGGCTCAGGTAAGATGACTTGTCCCAGCCAGCAATACAGGGCTGGAACTCGGCTGAGAGTTTGCGAATAGGACTGACACTTGTCCTGGGAGTCTGACACTCTCCATTTCACAGACAATCTGGGGTCAGGAGCAGGCTAGGGCAGAGAGCCCATGATGTTGGTGCTCAGAGTAGTGGGCTGCCAGTCCTCCTCCTCCTTTGTGGGACTATTCTGCGTCCATCCAACATGCACCAGAGGCCAGGCCGTTCAAGGACAGGTTGTCTTCACCCTCAGAACCAGCCTGCAAGGCAAGCATTTGTACCCATTTGACAGATGAGGACACTGAACTAGAAGGGGTGAAATAACTTGGGGAAGGTCGCATGAGCTGTACATGATGGAACTCAAGGTCATCCTGGACCATCTGACCGCAATATCATTCCACACATTTTTATTCCACTCTTATTCTGGGAGTTGGGGACAGGCTGGCAAATAAGAACAAGCTTCCTTGGAGGTGATAATTGAGCGGGAGAAACACTAAACAGGCAACCAATCAAAGAAGAAAACAAACAAGAGCAGTTTACATGATAGAGTGTGGGCAGGGTAGGTACAGAATGACTTGGGAGAAGGTGGTCAGGGGAGGTGACTCTTTTTGGGAGCTGACGTCTGAGCTGAGGCTGAAGGACAGGAGTGAGCGGGCCTGGGAGTGACGAGGCAGAGGAATAGCAAGACTGCAGGCTCTGAGACAGAAGGGGCTTGGTGTGTCCAAACAGCAGTGGGAGGCCGGGGTATTGGAGCCTGGAGAATAAGGGAGAGGGTTAGGAGGTGAGCAAGACCAGCAGGGGCTGGGCTATGGGGGCCTTAAAGGCAAAGTGAGGGCTTCAGTTTATCTTTATGTGTGAAGGGAAGCTACGGGAAGGGTTGTAGCAGAGGAGAGACATGCTGGCCTGACTCCTTTAGTAAGTGTAGATTCTTATCCTGCCTCCCCATGGCCTCCATATGCCCTGATTCCTTTGTCACCTGGCTTTCAGGTCATACCTGTGTGTTTATGTGTTGAAGCGACTCTGTGCTTTTGGAGGGCATGTTCTGTTCAGTTTCAGGTCACCAGTACCCAGAGTAGCTGCTGGAACACCAAAGGTGCTGAAGAGGTAGAGTCTCAAATGGATTAGCGGATGATCACTCGGGTCTTGCCGATCATTCAGGATTATACTGTGTAAGGAGAGCCATGGTAGCAAGGTGGATGGTCCCCATTGTGGGACAGAGGTGGAGCTGGCAGAGAGGGCTAGACAGAGCTTCAAAAGTGAAAGGGCACTTAGTCTGGGCCTCAAGGAAAGAGTAGTTTCCCAGGCAGAGAGTGTGGGCCTGGACATTTCTAGGCAGAGAGAATGACTTGGGAGGGCATGATGGAGAAGAGCTCCTAGTACCTCTGGGATGTGATGAGGCATCACATGCTGGGACTCAGGGCTTGTGGCTGAGGAGTTGTTGAAAATGAAGATAGGAAGTTAGGTGGGACCTGGCTAGGAATGCCCTGTGAGGGAGGTTACCTTTATCCAGGAGACCTGGAGGAGTCATCCAAGTATTTCAAGCAGGACCTGGATTTTAAGCCTGGGCCTCTGAGGTCAACATTGGACCAACCCAGCTGCTGCGAGGACCTCACCCATCTTCCTCTTCACTCCCCCTCTCATCCCACCTGCCCTCTGTTTGGTAATGCCCTGGGATTGGCTTTGGTGCTTTGGTTCCAAGGTTTACTCAGCCCTGTCGCCTCCTCTTACTTGCTCATCTCCTTCACTCATGGGAACGCAACTTGATCCAACTTGGTGCAGGGCCGGTGGCTGGGAGGAGGACTGGGTCTGTCTGGGTGGTCACGAGCACGGTTCACAAGAGAAAGGTAAATTGGATCAAGTTCTCTATTTAAGTAAAAAAAAAAAATTCTTTTTGAACATCTAATATATGCCAGTCCTATGTTAGTGCTTGTGAGATGAAGAGGACACAGGAGATTTAGGAGACACAGTACCTACCCTTTAAAGGTATAGATAGTGTAGTGTGGGGAAACTGGACGTCAGGAATAACAGCTGACCCGTATTGACTGCTGTCTGTAGAATGACTGGAAGACACTTCAAACAGCGCTCAGGGAGCCTTGGACTGAAATTCTGCAGGGTTCTGTTCCAAATAATGATGGGATGTTCTGATGCTGGGATTTAAGAGTGGGAAATGAAAGTAACTTCTGACATATACAGCTCAGAGCTGCCAGGAATGTTCTTCCTCCACCTCCCAAGACTTGTTTTTTAAATTCCTCCTCCTCCCTGGCGACCACACCAAAGGTTTCATTCCGAAACCAGCCAATCAGAGCTGTGACTGTGTAAATTTCTGGGAGGGGCACTCTTTAGGTCTCATTCACTATGTACAACTGGTAGTTGGGAGCCAGAGATCAGTAAACAAGTGATTGGAAGACAGTGTCATAACCTCTTATTCAGGCAGCATCAGGGAGCTGGGCTGGTGGGGAGGGCAAGTGGTCCCATCCAAGGGGGTCAGGTCCCAACCCAAGGGGGTTTAGAGGCAGTGAGGCGTGCATGGGGGCCAGCCAAGTGAGGGGCATGGGGAGCTCTGGGAGCAGGTCAAGACATTTCAGGCAGAAGAGGCAGCCACATGGCTGCAGGAAGTCCTGAGTGTGGCTGCATGTGTGTGTGTGTGTTAGTGTCCATGTGTATGTGTGTGCCTGCGAGCACATACGTGTGCACATGTGTGTATGGTGTGCCTGTGTGCGTGCATGAGCCGGTGTCCGCATGTGTGCCTATGTGCATTGTATGTATGCATGAATGTCTGGGGGTGTGCGCTCTGTGTCTCTACAAGAGGGGCCAGACAGCTGGGCAGCTATTGATAAAGGACCTTGTCTTTATTCCAAGAAGGCTTGGAGCAACCTTAGACAAGAGAATAATGTGTTCAGGGTTTCCTGTAACCCATGTGCCATTCCAACCAGGATTCAGCATCTAGTCACACTTACCTTTTGACCCCAGTTTTCATCTCATCCCACTCCTGCGTTTTATCACAGCCCCTACAAACCATGGCTTAAAACGTAGGACACAAACCCCAGGCTACACAACATATGGCAGTTCTAGGCACGTCTAAACCTGGATTCAAGGAGGGAAATAAAAGCGAGGAATAAGTCTCTAATGGGAGCCAAGGTTTCCTGGATACCATTCTGCTAACATGTATGACCACTTCTTCAATGAGCACCACAGAAATGAACAAAAGTGAGCGTAGACAGAGAAGTGAACATCTCAGAAGCACTGGCATTTGAGTTATTTGACAACATTGCCGGTTGGATTTTACATTTGTGTAACTAAGAAGGTTCACTAGCGATTCTGCCAAAACAAAGTCTGTGTATCCTTAAAGCAAATTCCAAGCTCTGTCCCTAAAAGACACAAACTCCAAGCAATCCCGGATCCAGTGCCCAGAGTCCATCTTCTGAGGCCAGCCGCCTGCAGTAAGGCCTTTGGGCTGCAGGTGGCAACAAAGATCAGCCTTCCTCACTGCCTTTTTGAAGCTTGGAACCCGCGCAATTTAATTCCTCCTGTGCTTGGTATCCCCTGTGTGTGAGCCCGTGTGCACCAGATCTCTGCCTCTCTTCCAATAGATGCTTCCTTCTCAAACGATGTGTGAGCGCAGATCCAAATCACGTGAAGACGTTGTGGAGCTCTGAATGCTCCTTCCTTCTGACAAGTTTCCTGGCACCTTCTTAGTGCTCTAGGAGCTTGGAGCCTAGGAGGGAAGACAGATAGTAAATGCATACTCACTTCTACTCCCTGTGTATATATGGGAAGGAGCAAAACATGTATGCCTGATCCCTTCTCCCGGGGACACCAATGCCTCTCTCATACTCATCCACTCCATCCCCCTTGGGACTCCCCCCAAGTTCTGATCATAGAAGTAGAGTGACAAAGAAGGCTGGAAGCCTGGAGTTCTGGCAGAGGCTTCTCCCACTGAAACTTTCTGAGGGCCCATAGCCAGAGGACCTGAGATTAAAAAAAAAAAAAAAAGAAAAGAAAAGAAAAAAAAAGGTCATGGTCCTGTGACCCTGTCTACTCAGAGGATTAGAGACTCAGGTATCTCCTAGCTAAGTACT